GGAACTAAGTAAACACGTCTGGTCCCTGAAAGACAACAACATTGACTACTCTATTTCATGGCGTATCATTTCATCTAGCTCATCGTATAACAGTTCAAGTAAAAGGTGTAACCTTTGCCTCAAAGAGAAATTTTTAATTATCTGTCGTCCCAATCTATCATCACTTAACAAACGTAACGAACTTGTATCTTCTTGCCGCCAGAGAAACAAAGCGTTGCTATGTAACAATTAAACATTTAAATTTAAGTTTTCCCCAACAATGTAAACTCAAAGTATATAGTCGATGGTTATGAATATTCTTATCATTAAAATCCCCTGAAGAGTGAGAGATCACGAAACAGGCTTGTCGGGATGAAAGTGTAGTTTTTTCCTACTTCCAATATTTATATCACGCTCTACTTTAACGTATCGAGCACTCTACTACGGAAAAATCGAAACACAGACTTCCTATATATATATATATATATTTTAGTTCCTGATATATATATATATATATATATCATTTATTTATATCATATATATCATTTATTTCTTTACTTCACTGGTTTCAGTTCATTTGTGGTGTATATATATATATGTTGTGGTTCAATTTTGTCCTTGGTTTAAATTTTATTTCCCTTTGTTTTGGGATATGGTAATGTATGATAATAAGATTGAAACAAAGAAAAATAAAATTTAAACCAAGGACAAAATTAAACCACAACATATATATATATAAAATGAGGAGGACGAGGAGGACTTCGTCCTCGTTTTCATGTTTTGCCCGAAAAATCAATACCGTTAATTTTGCATTCGCCTAACCCCTTTTCCCTTCTATTGAGGGGGAACTATGGTCCTCGCTATCATACGATAATGATTAAGCTGTATTCTAATGAAAGACTGAATAATACCCATTTTCGTTTTGTATTACAACAATAATAATAATATCATCCATTTATATGGTCTTAAGAAGATAAAAATAAATAATGATGTTATAGACTATAGAAAATAGCTGATCATGTCAAAAAAACCTCTCTACTTTGAGCTGATGATTCCATCTGACCAGTTACCATATTAAATGATTATTTTAGATGATGATCTCATCGTTTTTGATGACGTCAACTCCCGAGACTGTTGTAATGCAGAATGCCTCTCTATTTTTTATGATGATCTCATCATTTTAATCCCCTGAGCTACTGTGACGTCAACTCTACCACCTCCACCACGGCGTTGAACCCCTCATCTCCTTTTACTCTGTGTTTGGCTGGGATCCGCATGCACTTATGTTCACCAATGTTCCATCTCTTTTATATTTAACAAAATAAAAAAATCGCTTTGTTCACTTTGAGTTTGTTTTCTATTACAGAAGACCTCAAGCTACTGTCAGGATAGCTGCGAGTTTTTAACCAAAGTAGAAACCAGTATAACTGGAGATGGTTCCTTGCTGCCAACCCCAAGGAATCTAACTGTAACAAACAGGAGTTTTACATCAATCTCACTGCAGTGGGAGGCTGTAAAGAACACGAATGGTAGCCCTGTGTATTTGATAGAAATGGAAGCCTCAAGAGGGGAAGCAAAGTATTCCCCTATATACATGGAAGAGGTAGATTGAACAAAATTTTTCATTAGTTTTTTATGACTTAAGAGCCAATATCGTAGCCTGAATTTCATCCGATTACTTCCAGTCGTTTTACTCCCTCAGTAACGTCTGAATCGACCAGCCGTTAATGCCGTCCAGTGACGTCACTACTCCTTGACTTTTGCTTTAATTCATGCAAAAAGTAAAACACGATTTTCAAGTGGGAAACCGCCAAATATCGTTTGGAAATGTCTGCATGATAGATAATTGCATTATTTTTTTCAATCGTAATTCATGTTTAACGTTCAAACTATCAACTGCATGCAGAACAACTCTGAACCGGTTGTTATTCTGTAATCAAACTCGGTCGCAATCACGCAATGAAATAAACACCCACACGGAACACTTAGTTCAAAAACACAATGATTTGCTTTAATTGAAAAGAAGCTATTTGGTCCTTAACGAAGAAAAAAAACAAGGAAACAAGAAAGAATAGCTAACAGAATCATTACACTTGACGGTGAAAATAGTAAGAACGTCGAATTATAACATTGATCTCAGAAAACTTCGCATAAACAAAATCACAGGCCGCCGAAACCACAAAGCGGCTCTAAATGAAAAATCTACCGACTTTCCGCAATGATTCCTCATTCGCAGTTCAATTTAGCATTTCACTTTCGAAGACAAGGGCAATTTTGCTGTTTAAGATAAAGATGAAGCTTATCGAAATGTTTGAACTTGAGTATCAAGCGACAATCCCGCTAAAAATTTCATAATTATACATAAATAGTAATAGTTGACACTACAGCTGCCCCCGCTCTGTATATTGTCGGCCGTCAATAGCATTCTTGCTCGTTGTGTAGCTCTTTGAAATATACCGATTCATAACTAGGAAGATTTTCACACATATTCCATACAATAGGTGAGGTAAATACAGGAAAC